CCTGACACAAAACAAGGGTGAGTCCAGTTCTCGGCAGGACGAAGAGTCACCTCCAGGATGAAGAATCCAAGATGCAGTAACACCTAACTGCAGCCTCACACAACAATTTCAATAAAACACAACTAAAATACAAAATGGACATTACCCAGAACTACAGGAAAGTCGACTGGAAATTCTACAACGAGAAGCAAGGAGAAAACCAGAAGGAAAATCAGAGGAGCTGTAAAAGCCTAAGGTACAGAGACACCGTGCGCACGGGGAGAGGACGGAGCTGTAGAGGAGAGGGAGGCTGAGTGCCTGGCTGGTGTTCCCTAGGGGGAAGGAGATAAAAGCTCCGGACTGTGCTGAGCCCCAGTTCCGACTGCACTGAACCCCAGTTCTAGGCCAGACCCTGGGAACCCAGGCTCATACAGAGGCAGCTGGGCAGTAAGGCGGAAACTCAGGAGAGCGGAAAAGGAAGTCCCGGAGGCACATACATTGCGCTCAATGTGCCACTGGATTTTGCCCTAGCAGGAAGGAGACAAAAGCTTCAGACTGCTCTGAACCCCACTTCCAACTGAACTGAACCCCAGTTCCGGGCTCATTGGGGGAGAGCCTAGACTATTTGGTAGCAGGCGAAACTCCAGGGCACCTTTCTCTCAGAGGTGCTTGCAATGAGTACTGAAGGACCCTGAGGAATACTGAGACTCAGGAGCCTCATAGGGCATGGCTGACGGAAGCCAAGGCTGTAGGCTCCACCCTGAAACTCAGCCCAATCCAAGATGAACACAAGAGACTTTTTTAGGTTACCAACTCAGGGAAGCTGCGAAAATACCGAGACAAGGAAACAGATCACAAACGAAAGAAATGGAGGACAAAAAGCGACTGGATATAGAATTCAAAACCATGCTTATAAGGTTTTTCAAGAATTTCTTAGAAAAGGTCGATAAGACCTATGAAGATCTGAAAAGGGATCAACTAGAAATAATAAGGGATCAACTAGAAATAAAGAATACATTCTCTGAAATAAAAAATATTATACAGAGTCCTAAAAACAGAATGGAAAATCGCTTGAATCAAGTCAAAGATTTGGAACATAAAGAGCCAGAAGATACTCCTCTGCAGAAGAAGACAAGAGAATCCAGAAAGTTGAAGATAATGTAAGAAACCTCTGGGACAACTTCAAGTGAACCAACATCAGAATTATGGGGATCCCAGAAGAAGAGAGAGAGCAAGATACCAAAAACATATTGAAAGAAATAGCGACAAAAAACTTCCCCCACCTGGTGAAAGAATTAGACTTACAAGTACAGGAAGCGCACAGAACCCCAAACAAAAGGAATCCAAAGAGGACCATACCAAGACACATCATAATTAAAATTCCAAGAGCAAAAGACAGAGAGAGAATATTAAAAGCAGCAAGAGAAAAGCAGGTAGTTACCTATAAAGGAGCACCCATACGATTCTCAGCTGATTTCTCAATAGAAACCATGCAGGCCAGACAGGAATGGCAAGAAATATTCAAGGTGATGAATAGCAAGAACCTACAGCCAAAAATACTCTCCCCAGCAAAGCTATCACTCAGAATCAAAGGCCAAATAAAGAGCTTCACTAATAAAAAAAAATTAAAAAAACGCTAAAGGAGTTATATGAATTGCTGAAGGGGGTTCTTTAGGAAGAGGAAGGAAATAAAGATAAAAATTATGAACAATAAATACGTAACCATCAACAAGTGACTCTAAAAACCAAGGGAATTAAAAAATCTGATGAATAATATTAACTGTTGAATATAATAGAATCAGAGGTATGGAAGGGAAGTGAACTAACTATTCTTGGGGTAAAAGGGAATGGGGGGTACAGGAAGAGACTGAACATAAACTGTTCACTACAGATGAGGACAATGGGGGGGTGGGAACCTTGTGGAGGGGAGCAATGGCGGGGGGGAAATGAGGAACATTTGTCATAATATGAACAATAAAGATTTTTTTAAAAAAAGTCTTGGACAGTGACGGAAACAATATGAGACATTATTTGCCATGGATGGGATCTGATGGAAGAGGGAGAGAACGGAGAAAGAAGAGATCACAAAGTGACTAAGAAAACTCTCTTTGACAACGCAAAGAACTCATTTCACAGGTTTACAAAAACCTTTATTTCAGAAAGGTCACCAGTCCAAAAAAGCTTCTCTTTCACCATGGGTAATGTCATGGTGTCATGCTTCTTTCAGGAGGCCAGCGGTCTTTCTTCCAATACTGAACACAATGCAACATGGCAGAACAAGGTATTTAGGTCTGTGTTCTTTCTTCTTCCATAATATCCTTAACTCAACATCATCATATGAAATATCCAAGATCAACTGAAACCCAATATAATCCCATATCATTTTAAGACTGCACTTAAAAGGTTATTCTTTTTTTTTTCTTAAATGACAGGTATTTTAATTATTACCTTCTTAAGCTAAGTTAAAGTCCGATTCATTGAAGTAAACGACCCAAAGTCAGAGACATCATCCTGAGTTAACCTGAAAGAGATTAGTTAGTTCTCATCCTGAAATGATCTTCTACACCGCAAGCAAAGGCATTGAGCTTCTATTCTAATTTCATTGTTTTAGCGATCAGCTAAAAACAAACAAACTTCATAAAGTGGTTTGTTTACACATATCTGCAGATGCCTCTTCTGAAGTCATGAGTCAACAGCTTTCAACAATTTGACACCTAGACTTCTCTTGGACCATTTCCAAGCAAAAATACCCAGTGACTTTGGCCATCATTACTTTATCCAAACAGCTCACTCTTCTCCACCATACCTTTTAAACAAAAAAGGTGAGTGATAAAATCAGTTGTCTAAATACAACCACCAATCTCTGTATAATATTGTACATTTACAAAGCCAGTGAAAAACCATAGTATCGCTCCTTTTAACAATAACAAAAATTTCTACAGAAAGCAAGGTAGATTATGAGCTCCATCCTTATCATTGGGGAATGATCCCAAGCTTTGAGGGGGGAATGGCTAGCCCATGGTCAATACAGGGGGTGGAGGGAAGAGGTTGCAGGGCATCAATAAAAGAAGGACCAGCTAAGGAGAAGCATCATATGACTTTCGCACAATATCTGCATCTGTACACAAAAAGGCCTTAGAAGATATGACCCCTATCTACTAGCCAACTTCTTCTTGTACTTTGCCTCATGACTCCAACAAATGCTTCTTGATCATCATTCAGAACTACCGGTGGCATCCCAAAGGAGTCCAGTCAGGTCAGCCTTTACATTCAATTTCCCCTATCTGACATGCTCCCCTCCCATTTCTTCTTTTAGCTGCTCCCAATCGACCTTTAAACTCAGCTCAAATAATACCTCTTTCAAGAGTTGACCTCCTTATTGCTCTCAAAGCACTATGGATTGATTACTTATGTTATTGCATTATCCTGGCCGATTCCATCATTTGTCCCCTGCCCTAGACTTAAGTTCTCCAGTGGGGATTGAGGGAACATACTTGTGATGGGACTCATCCTCTGTTAGTACCTGACATATGGAGCAGGCATCAGGAAATGTCTGTGGACTAAATGAATGAATGTGCCAAATCCCAAGAGGAGTCACACAAGACTTCCAGGGTAGAAAACTTCAGACAACTCAAGTTCGACTTTCCACAGTCACGTTAGCAGTCTGGCTCCTCCAGGAAATGGGAATATCACATAAGTTAATATCATGAAATAATGATCCTTGTTTTTGGTGGGTTTTTTTGTTTTTCTTTTTCTAATTTTCATTTTAAATGGAAAAACCTTTGGTTCTTTACACATTTGGAGTCACTCTGAATTGTTATCCGAGGAGGCCATGTGACAACCACAGTTGCAGACTATTTTTCAGAGGTCAGACAACATGCTTGTTAACAGTGTGAGATCTGAAGTGTGGGTTCAAATGTGCCATTTGGGAACTGGGTATCTGGCTAGTATTCAGCCCACAGTTATCTACTGAGCCATGTACTGTGGGCCAAGTGCTGGCGATATAGTGGTGACCTCGCTGTTCGATCACTTTATTTCCTTCACAGCATGTGCTGCCTCCGAAATATTCTCATTCGCTGGTTTGTCTCCCTGCATTATAAAGCAAGCTCTGTGAGAGCGGGGAACTTATCTGTCTGGTTCATGGTTGTCTCTCCAGTACCAAGTGCAGGGCTACTACAGTTACTCAACCCATGTGAAGGAGGAACCAGTAAATCAGATGAGGTCCCTGATGTCTCACGGCGCTAATATTGTAGTAGGTGAGACGTAGAGAGAAAAAGAAACATAAAAACTATAAAGGTTCACATTGGGAAGGGCACGGCGGGGCACTAAACTTCCTCTGGCTCCCACTCCAGGCAGTTCTGGGAAGAAAAAGGATGTGCCCACCCTGGCAGCTCCCCACCGCTGCATGGACCGCCGCAACGGGCCTGAGGAGACCGCACAGGAAAGCTGGGCCATGTCCCCCAGACTCCTGCGGCGGGTCCGTTCTTGCATGTGTTTGGCAGTATTAGGATCCCACTGTGTGCTGGGCACGCAGCAGAGAAAGACAAATCCTGCCCTCATGCAGCTTCCCTTCTACTGTAGAAACACGGCGCACAAGGTGGTGTTAAGGGCCAGGCTGACCACAGGGCAGCGACGTTGCAGGGAAGGGCTGCAGGTGCCTGGCGGGGGGGGGCTGAGCAGAGCACAGAGCATGCCCATCTGGGGAGGTGACATCTGACCTACGACCTGGAGAGGTCAACCTAGAGGAGGGCAGGCAAGGCTCACACTCCAGAGTCCCGCCAACTAGACGGCAAAGTTAAAATGGCAACTGTGCAGAGTGGCTGGAGGGAGAGGAGAGCGGCACCGCCCCCTCCCCCCGCCCCCCGCGCCAGGACGCCTCTGACCCTCAGCCTCGAGGGGCGCGGGGCGAACGCGCCGTCGGGCGGGAGCCGACGTCACCGCCAGGCTGTCCGGTCCCTCGGGGCCAGGGCGCGTGGCGCAGGGCCTCGCCCGCGGCAGCAGATAGCCGGCCTCCGGCTTACCTCGGAACTTGAGCTCGTGCTGCGGCTCGAGGCTCAGGACCTGCTCCACCTTCGCCATGTTCCTCGGCGGCGGGGCACCTCTGGCGGGGAGACCCCTGAGAGGTCACCGGAGGCGGGGGACGTTAGTGCTGCGCCCCCTTTAAATTCGAAAGGGGGGGCCGGCCGGGGGTCGTTGCGGAGTGCGCGCGGAGGGGGGGCGGCCTACGCGGTGCAAGCTCGGGGGCGGAGGGCGAGGGCGAGGCCACGGTGCCCAGCGAGCGTACGGCACACACGTAGCGACGCACGCAGCGACGCACGAACGTACGCACGCGCACAGTAGCCTGGCTGGCTCCGACCTGTACGCGATTGGGCAGCGGGAAGCTGCGCACCCGGAACTGCTCCCGGCGCAGTGCGCAGGCGCGGCTTTGGGCTAGGCCGCCGGGCTGCCGGGAGTCAGGGGGCGGGGCGTCGCGCAGGACCCAGCTAGGGGCGTGTCCGGACGCAGATAAATCAGGAGTGTCCTGGCGAAGCTTGTTTTTTCAGGGCCCCTAGGGACCAGCAGTTGTGTTAAGTGCTTTTTACTCTATAACAACAATTAAGAACAATAAAATTCTACTTTCCCTCTGCTTATGTAGTGCCAGGCACTGTTAGAGACTTTGAATAATAATGAAAGTACTATTTATTCTCATTATAAACATGTTTGTGGGTGAATGGATGTGTGCTAGCCACTGTGAGGTTTGAAAAGCACTAAGTATAAAGAGTTGCCAATTATTGTTTGTGTATTTTGTGCCACTTCTGCTGAACGCTTTTGATAACAGCAACACTAAAATAAAAGCTATGCTACTTGACATGTTTGCTATGTAAGCACGGTGCTGAATCCTTTACTAAGAGATGCAGCAAATATTTAGAAATGCAATGATCAGAGAAGATGACCTGGTTCCTACCCTCTCACTGGAATCCATTGAAGAAACAGTCAGATAAGTTACATAACTAAAAACTACTGGGACCTTGATCCTCTGGGCCTTGAGCACTACCTCATATTGCCATCTAAATTTTACTTCATTATATAAGTTTTATCACATAAAATAGGTATTAATAGTCTCCTAAATATCATAAATGAAGCAAACACAAGTAGCTAACCATGTTGCCTCTATGGCTGGCACATGTTTCTCTCTACTGTTCTTCCCACTTTTCTGTATATTTGAAAATTTTCATAATAAAAAAGTGGTTGTTGTTAGGCCTCGCTGTGTTAGCTCAGGGGATAGAGCATAGGCCTGCAGACTTCCCGGTTCGATTTCGGTCACAGGCACATGCCCAGGTTTTTGGCCCGATCCTCAGTGTGGGGTGTGCAGGAGGTAGTTGATCAATGATTCCTTCTCATCATTGATGTTTCTATCTCTCTCTCCCTCTCTCTTCCTCTCTGAAGTCAATAAAAATATTTATACTTTTAAAGTGGTTGTTTTAAGATGATCTTTGTCTTTTAAGTAGATCATTTGGTCAATTTATACATATTATATATCTGATTTATTTCTATCATCTTATTTTGTGCTTCCTATTTGTCATGCCCCTCACCCCTTTTTCCTTTGCCCACCCCTTGTTTTCTTTAGGACTGATTTTTTTCCCCCATTGCATTTTTCTTCCTCATTTATATACTCTATTTCTATTGTTTTAGTAATTATTCTAGAAATTTTGACATGGATACTTACAAAGTCAGTTTTTAAAATATTTTTACTTTAAAATATAAGGACTTTGGGATTCTTTAATTACCCATCTTCTCAATTATATGCTTTTATCATAGTGTATTTTAGGTTTAAGCTTTCCCTTTTCCACCCCATGAGTCATTACTAAATTGTTTTAGACAGTCACTGTTACTTTAGACTCAAACAGTTACCAATTTCTTTGCCCATCTTTTCGTCTTGCATCTCAGAACTTACATCTAGAATAATTTTCCTTGTTCCTGAAGTACAACCTTTAGATTTTATTTCAGTGAGAGCTTGTTGGAACAATTTGAACAATGACAATAAATAATATAATTTTGAATTATTACCAAAAGTAGAAAATAGCCGAAACCGGTTTGGCTCAGTGGTAGAGCGTCTGTCTGAGGACTGAAAGGTCCCAGGTTCGATTCTGGTCAAGGGCATGTACATTGGTTGTGGGCACATCCCCGGTAGGGGGTGTGCAAGAGGCAGCTGGTCGATGTTTCTCATCGATGTTTCTAGCTCTCTATCCCTCTCTCTTCCTCTCTGTAAAAAAATCAATAAAATATATATTTTTTAAAAGTAGAAAATAAATATCCATGAGTCCATACTGATATAAATAAATGATTGAATAAATAAATAACTAGAAATATAAAATAATTCCAAATAATATACCTTAGCCATTCCTCCCTCACGGAGGTGGTACATAACTCCCCTTAAGTAAGGATTATACTTAGTGACTTTCTTCCAAAGAGTACAATCTACAAAGTAGAAAAATAACTGTAAGGAGAGACCTGGCAAATAGTACCTCAGCAAGGTGGTCATATGTCACATTGAGAGCACCAATCCTGCTAAGATGTGTTGAGAAGAGCATTTCACCTCTTGGTATTCCCCTCCACCCTACCACTACCACCAAATCCCACAATCCCACTCTAATTATAGAGAAAACTTCAGGAAAACTCAAACTGAAGGACATTCTACAAAACGCCTGAGCATTCCTCAAATGTCAAGGTCATCTAAAACCAGGAAAGTGAGAAACTCACAGTCCAGAGACCCAAAACTAGACATCATGTGGAGTCCTGAATAAGGTCTTGGAACAGAAAAAGGGCATCAGGGGAATACCAAGAAAATCTGTATAAAATATGTTCTTTAGTTAAAAATAGCATACTAATATACTAGGGGCCAGGTGCATGAAATTCATGCACAGTAATGGTGGGTACCTCAACCCGGTATGCATCCTCTCCAATGCGGAAAACCTCGGGACTGCTGGCTCCTAACCACTCCCCTGCCTGCCAGCCTGATCCCCCTAACTGTTCTCCCCTGCCAGCCTGATCTTCCTAACTGCTCTCCCCTGCCATCCTGATCCCCCTAACTATTGTTATAATACTAATGTGAGACATTAAAAGTAGGGGAAACTCCCTTTACTACCTTTGCACTGTAACTCCCAAACTATTCTAAATTAGAAGTTCATTTAAAATATTTGCATTGGCTTTTCAACTTCCTATGTTGGTGTTCTCGGTAGTGCAAACTGTCTCTGTCTCTCAACCCCTTTGATAACCAGAATATGCAATGCTCCACCCTGTGAGGAAATGGATGGCTTTGTGGAATTTGTGTCATCTCACCCCATTTCTGGCTTTGGAATGCCACCCCCCTGGCTAACCAAATCCCACCCATCCTTCATGGCCTCACTCACTCACTCACTCACTCACTCCTTCTTTCATTCATTTACTCATCCAAACAGAATTACTGCCTGAGCATCCTGCAGTGGATGCATTTAGCCTGAGCTACAAAGAACCTCACTGTCTAATTGAGGGGGGAAATCACCAAAATGAATACAATCTGTGATAAATGCTAAAATAGATGAAAAGAAAGCTATGAAGAGACAATGAGCATTACTCTCAGGGCTGGGAGAAAACTTAAAAGCTCCAAGGTATTAGAGAATAGTCTTGTAAAAACAGTAAGAAAGATTTTGCTAGACAGAAAGAGAAGGAAAGGTTCTCTAAGTGGAGGAACAGCATATGCAAAGGCCCCGGGGTGCATGGCCTTCCAGAGCTGCTTGAGGAAAGGCAAGGAGTAAAAATAGTTTCTCAAATTTATTTAGTTTCTGCTCTGTATCAGGCAGTATATTAGCATAGATATTAGTTTCCTGTGGTGCTGTAATAAATGACCACAAAATCCATCAAGCTACAGTTTTGGGGGTTAAAAATCCAAAACCGGGTTTTACAAGGCTAAAATCTAGCTGTGTTCCATCTGGAGGCTCCTTGTCCATTGCTTCTGGAGATTGGCCATATTCCTTGGCTTATGGCCCCTTTCTCTGTCTTCAAAGCCAGCTTCTTCAATCTTCTCTCTCAGATCTGTTTCCATCGTACTGTGTGGGCCTGTGGGCCAGGCACTGCGATAAGTGCTTTGTTTCTGTTAATTTATTTAAGCCTCACAATATCGGGGCTGATCATTTATTCCCCACTTTACAGATGAGGAAACCAAGGCCCTGAGAAGTGTAGCCAGCAAGGATGGGGGATGAAGGGTCTCCTGTTATGCTGGAGAGTCTAGATTTTATCCTTCGATATCCTTGGCTATCCCAATGTTGTTATACAGAGAAGTAACATGATCAACTGTATTTTTAAAGTTCTTTTGTTGTTTGTTTTTAAATATAAAAGTTGTTTTTAAATAAAAATATCTTGCAATAGCTGAAATCAGTTTGGCTCAGTGGATAGAGTGTCGGCCTGTGGACTGAAAGGTCCCAGGTTCGATTCCGGTCAAGGGCATGTACCTTGGTTGCAGGCACATCCCCAGTGGGGATGATGCAAGAGGCAGCTGATCAATGATTCTCTCTCATCAATGTTTCTAACTCTCTATCCCTCTCTCTTCCTCTCTGTAAAAAACCAATTACATATATATATATATATATATATATATATATATATATATATGTATAAATATCTTGCAATAGCTGAAATCAGTTTGGCTCAGTGGATAAAGCGTTGGTCTGCGGACTGAAAGGTCCCAGGTTTGATTCTGCTCAAGGGCATGTACCTTGGTTGCGGGCACATCCTCAGTAGGGCGTGTGCAGGAGGCAGCTGATCGATGTTTCTCACCGATGTTTCTAATTCTCTATCCCTCTCTCTTCCTCTCTGTCTCTCCGTGAAAAATCAATAAAATATTTTTTAAAAAGTTATTGTAAATCTAGACTCTCCAGCATAACAGGAGACCCTTCATCCCCCATCCTTGCTGGCTACACTTCTCAGGGCCTTGGTTAATATATAAAAGTTATATATTGCAATAATTTGAGGTTTACAGAGAAGCTGATAAAGTTATGCAGAGTTCTGCCACTCACACAGTTCTCCTGAGGTCATCATCTGACTTCACTTTACATGACATTATA